CTCTCCCTCTCTATCACTCTCTCTATCGCTCTCTCTTTCTTTCACAACCTCCCCCCTCCCCCACCCCCAATCTCTTCCTCGAGATCACTAACTCAGCCACTCACACACCTGTCTTTCAACTTCTCCACCCCCTCTCTTTCCCTTTTCGTCGCTACAAATGTTTCGATTTTGTTCTCTGTCTGAAGCATTTCGTCGGCACCGACATAGTATCGCCCACTATTTCCAGCCAGCATCCTTAGAATTCTTGAATGCCAGTCAGTGTCAGCCTCTGCCTCTCATTTCTCTACAGAACAAAGCAACAGCCAGTAGCTGCCACGACAACAATGACACTCTCAAAGCTCACACTTACTGGCAAAATGCAAGACAATAACTCACTCTCACAACGCTTATTAAAAAACGAACAAACATCCCTCATCCCACAAAACAAAAACAAAAGTAAAAACCCCCCACCAAAATAACAACAACAACCCAACACCAAACAAAACAAAAACAAAAACAAACTTTAGTAGAGCACAGGTTTTACGGCGTTTGCAACTGCTTACGGTCATATGAATGCCGAAGGTTAGAAGTATTACAAGAGAGTAATAAACACAAAAAAGAAGGAGGGGAGATAGAGAAGATAGATTTTTTTTATAAGAAAGAAGGAGCAAACCACACCAGAGCACCCGTCAACCACCCACCAGCCAGCATCATTAGAATCCCAAATGCCAGTCAATGTCAGCCTCCCACGTCCCAAACAGAAAAAATGACCTGTCAGTAACTGCCACAACAATGACATTCTCAAAGCTCACACTTACTGGCAAAATGCAAGACAATAACTCACTCTCACAATGTTTATTAACAAACGAACAAACATTCCTCATCCCACAAAACCAAACAAAGGAAAAACCAAGCAAAAAAACAACAATAAAAAACAAAACAAAGCAAAACAAACAAAGCAAAACAAAACAACGTTTTTTTTGGTGTTTTCGTAAGGTTTTACGGCGCTCGCAACTGCATAAGGTCATACGAGTGCCTAGGGGTGGATGTAAACAGAGAAGTCAGGCTTACTCTGCTCACCTCTCTGGCTTCAACAGCACAAAGTCTGCTTCGACTATCAAAGCACCCCGGAAATAGCAGTTCACAAGAGAGTGACGAACATACTAAAGAAGTAGAGGAAAATAACGATAGTAAGGATGATGAAAGAAAAAGCAGCAGTTCCCTGTTTCAATTCAGGAAGACAATAACTCACTTTCACAACGCTTATTAAAAAACGAACAAACATCCCTGAGCATGACATTGATGAATCAGCCCATGTAAAATTTTACTGTGCATAAGAATAAGTTAATGTCCCCCTTTGGGAATGGCCTAAAGACACTTCAGTCAGTAGCACCGCCCCGGGGTGACCAAGCGAATGTATTCGATTTCTGAAGTGAGATCAAGCTGCTGTATCATTAAGCTATAGTTCTGGTAATATGACGCAAATAAGATCAATTAGGAGGCTGGGGGCTTTCATTCTGCCCGTTAGAGCCAAATCAGGTTGAGTGGGACATGTACGATGACGTGCCCACCCGGGAAACGAACCCATGTCTTCAGTGTTTAATGATGAAGAGTCACAAAATTACACCGCAAGACGCCGGTTCCTAGGAGCATGTTCAGTTATAAAATTGTGCGAGAAAAAGTTTCAAAGAGCGTGTTGTGGGGAAAAAAAGGTAACAAACACACAAAAGAAGTAGGAAAGATAATGACGATAGATGTTTGATAGAAAAAAAGAGCAAATCACACCAGAGCACCTGTCAACCTCCATCGACGTTCTTTCTCTAAATTTCAACAGATTTCTTTCCCTCGATACTTCTGCTCTTTTTATACACCTCTATATTTATACACCTTTTTCACTCAATGTTCTGTATCTTACTTCCTCTCTATTTTAAAACTTGAAATCTACCTTTTCAAACTGCAGTTGGTTTGGGGGATTAGGCATGTTAGCAAACGTAGGGTCAGAGAATGAAGACAGTAACGTATGGTTGAGATGTGCACAACAGAGAGTCTGATGTCTAAACACCGCTTAGCAAGACGGAGGCATGAACGATTAACTAGAGTAAACAGAATGAAGAGGGACTTTAGTTTTAGTTTTAATAGAGGTTTTATGGAGCTCGCAACTGCATAAGGTCATTTGAGTGCCAAAAGATTAGAGGTGTTGCAAGACCGTAATAAACACACACAAAAAGTAGGAGAGATAATGACGATAGATGTTTGATAGAAAAAAAGAGCAAACCACATCAGAGCACCTGTCAACCACCTTCGATGTTCTTTCTCTAATTTTCAACCGATTTCTGTCCCTCAATACTCCTGCTCTTTTTATACACCTCTATTTTTTTAATACTTTATACACCTCTTTCACTCAATGTTCTGTATCTTACTTCCTCTCTATTTTAAAACTTGAAATTTACCTTTTCAACCTGCAGTTGGATTGGGGGATTAGGCAGGTTGGCAAACGTAGGGCTAAGGATGAATGCAGTAACGTATGGGTGAGATGTGCACAACAGAGGGTCTGATGTCTAAACACCGCTTAGCAAGAGGGAGGCATGAACGATCAAGAGCAAACAGAATGAAGAGGGACAAACCACACGTTCACACACATGGATGTTCGAAGAGAAACAATGATATGAGGGAACACATACATGAGAGCACATCATGTACACACACATGTGCGTGCACACGACCTGCATGTAGTCACATACACACGCACAAAAGCATACACACATACACAGACACATAAACATACACACATACATACACACACAAACATGATTGCCACACAAAACCTACACAGACACACACACACACACGCATAATGAAAGAAAGAACCATCTAAAACTAAGTAGACTTTTACAAAACAGACACATGAAGTTAGAACCATCTCAGTTTTAGTTTTGGCAAGAGTTTTACGGCACTTGCAATACAAAAAGGTCATATAAGGTGCCGAAGATTGGAGGTGTCACACGACAGTAACAATATAAAAAAGGAGGAGGGGAGATAAGGACGACAGATGTTTGCTAGGAAAGTAGGTGCAAACCACACCAGAGCACCCACCAACCATCCACACACATGAAGTGAGAACCATCTAGATCTAGAACTCTCTAGTCTTTTACAAAACAGACAAATGAAGATAGAGCCATTGAAGTTTAGTAGAGGTTTTACGGCGCTCGCAACTGCATAAGGTCATATGAGCACCAGAAGATCAAAGGTGTTACAAGAGGGTAACAAACATAAAAAAGAAGAAGGGGTAATAAGGACGATAGATGTTTCAAAGGAAACAAGAAGCAAACCACACCAGAGCACCCGCCAACCACTCACAGAGCCATCTAAAACTAACTGGACTTTTACAAAACAAACACATGAAGTTAGAACCATCTCAAACAAACTAGACTTTTACAAGACAGACACATATGAAGTTAGAACCACTTAAAACTGTGGGTGATTGGCGGGTG